CTTGTCTGATTAACCAACGGCATCGGTCTCGTTATTCATGTTGGATGAAACTGACCAATTCAAATTATCAAGCTGTAATTAAAAGCTAAAAGTAATTTAAAAAGTTGATGTTAAAAGTGTTTGGAGTTTCATCCATAATAGTAATGTAAAAATATGTCATAGCAATGATGTAAAAAGTCAATATGAAAGGAAAATCAACATGGCTCTCTAACTACATTTTTGCAAAAATGTACCTATACATACAATTTACTGTACTTTCCAGCTGAAATTAAAACTAGTGGCCATAAAACACCAACAACTTTTCAAACAAATTATGATTTGGGGGCAGATTATCGATTAATAAAGACTTATTTTCATGTTTATCTCAAAACACTTTTACCATAGTGCATGATTTGCAAACGAATATATTTTGATGTTTGCATCACATAACCAGCTCTATATGTATAGCTTTTCTGGTGTAGTAAAAATGCTCTGTAGCTCACCTGGTATAGCTGATCATTACACATGCAATGAAAAGCACTCAGGTCCGTGAAACAAGTTCTGATAAAGACTTCTAGAAACAAGCTAAAATGACATGGTTGCTTAAGCAAATGCATTTTTTATCTCATGTTTGCTTTTATTAACACTGTACGTTAGGTTAGGGTAGTTGGTATGTTATTTACAAATAGAATAGAGCATAAAGGGGTCATATGATGTGATTTCAAGTTTTCCTTTCTCTTTAGAATGTTACAAGCTGTTCGTGAATAGATAAAATCCCTAAAGTTGCAAAGACTAAAGTCTCAAACCCAAAGAGATATTCTTTATAAAAGTTAAGACTGGTCCACGCCCTCCTAAAACGCCTCGTTTAAACACGCCCCCACATGTCTACGTCACTGTGTGTGAAGATTGCATAACGCCGCCCAAATGTTCACGCAAAGAAATAAGGCGTAACTTTATTGTTGCTGCCACCGCCGCCACCTTGTTGTGAAGACGCTGTGTGTTTCGTTGCGAAAGTTACTTTGAAAAATACTTTGTTTGGCCTTCCCAAAAGAGGACATATTTTTCATATTTAAAGAATTTGCGATGCAATGGAACGCAACGCATAAAAATACAGTATAAGTCATTATAATCAGTAATTATGTACCCACTGGTTGCGACAAATACCTTGTTTATAATGGGTTTTAATGTTGTTGTCTCGTCGCTCCGGCCGGGACATGGCATCACAGTATGTAACATTTCCGTCACACCCTTGAAGTATTCGGCCAATCACAATGCAATGGATAGTTTAATTTTGCAAAAATGTCGCCACATGCACGTTTTTCTAATGAGCCTGGGTTGATCAAAATCATTACTTATTACTTGTTTAATATACATCTCTGGTCTTTTGTGTTCATCAGTGCATGTTATTCCAAATAGGAAAAAAAAATTATCTTTACCAAAGACAAATTCCTCTTATTTTCCGACCAATTCATTCAATTCCCAATGGATAAAATCAAGTCCTGCCATACATTTTAACACCTTGAAAATCCTGTTTCACCAAGCACTGTGTGTCACAATACGGGAGTAAAATGCAATTATATTGTTTGTCTGAGAAGTTGTGTTAATCTAAATGTAAAAAGAGACACTGTGAATTATATAACCACAATCTCTTTTTCAGTCGACTACACTGAATAAACAGCAAAACAAAACAAGAATAAATGTGTATCTCTTTCGCGCACACACACACACACACACACACACTCTTCCTCTAACCCCCTATCCATTCCTCTGCAGTATTTCACTCCATTTAAAATTGCCACCCGCTTCCGTCTTGCCAAGCCTGAATTGATTTTTTAGGAATTCAAAGCCTTTCACCCCTCTGAGTCTCTGTTGTGCCAGCGCACAATGTAGTTTGCATATGACTAATCATCTGCCGTGTTTATATGTAATCTCATATCATTTCAGGCCATGTCCCCTGTTTTGTATCTCCTGCTCTCCTCTCCCTTCCTCTCGTTCTCTTAGCTCTTGGCTGTATCGCTCTTGTGAAACATAAACCAAATCTACCTTGGCTGAAAAGCATGCAAATATCCCATGCGTTCACTAAGACAGACAAGGACTCTTGCAATCATGTGTAAGAGCAGCTAATGTTACACGTAAGAGCCTGTGGGTGGCATTCTCAATGAAACCTTTAAAACAGTGTTCTCAACGGGTGGGTCGTGACCAAAACAAGTAGCAGGTCTGCTCTGACAATGCTAAATGCAAATTATGAAAAGCAACTTACCATAAAATTGTGACAGCACAATAAGTTTGCTTTTAAAAGGGAGAAGAATCTCTTTTTTATATCACACTTCAAAATAAAGGTTTCAAAATAACTTTTAGGTGAAAAGTTTTTAAAAGAACCATTATTTTCTTAGTGTAAAGAACATTTGAATGAACTAAAGAACCCTTTTCCACTATTGAGAACCTTTTTGGTAATGTAAGGTTACATGTATGTTTATAGTTCTTCGTGGAACCATCGATGCTAATAAAGAACCTTTATTTTCAAGAGTGGATTCCATAGAACAACCATTTTTGGGTTCCCCTAACAACCTTTCAGTGAGCAGTTCTTAAAATAACCTTTTTACACTATGAAGGACCTTTTGCACAAATTATAGGATTCCATGAATGTTGAAGGTTCTTTTTGGAACCACCGAAACCAAAGACCTTTATTTTTTAGAGTGTATTTTGGTGCAAAATCATCTGTCACTTGGTAATATGGTAAAAAAATTTATATTTGGCCCAATATTTGTTCCAATCTGGTAAATCACACTTTGGATCATATGTATTGTCAAGTTTCCCATTTAGGAATTTCCCTATGTCATGTTAATTATTTAGCTTATTGTTGGGCCATTGCAGTTGATGGTTAAACAGGCCTAAGCTGGTTTTGGTTTGGTCTAGTTTAAAAGATCTTCCTTCTCAGCAGGAAAAAGCATCTCAAGATTGTTTGTAAAGACATTTTAGTGACTTTTATATGATGTGGCATCATGGTGAGTTTCCACTCAATGTCTAATGTGAATTCTGGACCCTCAAGCAAAACCAGTTGAGAACTGCTGCGAATTGTAGAACAGCCCTTTTCATTGCAGTTTTATTGATGCAGAGCTATTAAGTATCAGACCTTTTAGTAGGCGGAGATGAGATGGATAACACATCTCTTCTCGTGTTGACTGTTGTCTTTGGGGTCGAGCACAATTGTTTTGAATCCTCCAGGGCAGTGACTCGTCATTCAGCGAAACACAGCGCTCCCGTGATGTTCGCTTTCTTCTCACTGCATTATTAGCAATATAAATCTACGAAGAGGTGAAAAGGCATCACATTCTCAGCTCTGTCTACATTCGCGATTCTGATCAACAAGGGAGATTAGAGCAGGAAACAAACTACAAGGCGTATCTAGTAGCTTTTCAGTCTTACAATAAAGTTGAGTTGTTATAGACAAAATGAAATCAAAATGTAGCCAATTTACTTTTTTAATAAATGTCACTGATTTTATTGTGCATGTTTTATCAGTGCATGTTATACATACATTAAGAAAAAAATCTAAATTTAATTACTTTCTCTGAACTCTGAAATGACTTTCCTGTTGAATAAATCACCTGGGCATGTGGGATGGGAAATACAATAACAAAACAAATACATATATGCAGTGCAATATCATTTAGTTTATAGTTGGTAAGATTTTTTATATTTTAGAAATAAGTCTCTTATGCTCACCAAGGCTGCATTTATTTGATCAGAAATGCAGTTAAAAATAGTAATATTGTGAGATATTATTACAATTTTAATATATTTTGAAATGTAATTTAATTACGTGATGGCAAAGCTGAATTTTCAGCAGCCATTACTCCACTCTTTAGTGTCACATGACATACTGTTTTCTTAAAGGGATAGTTCACCCAAAAATGAAGCTTCTGTCATTAAAGTGTTAGTTCACCCAAAAATGAAAATTAGTCCATAAATTACTTACCCTCAAGTCATCCTAGGTGTATATGACTTTCTTCTTTCAGACGAATCCAGTCGGAGTTATATTAGAAAATTGTCTTTGATCTTTCAAGCTGTTTCATGCATGGCACTCAGCGGGTGTTGCATACATCAGTCCAAAAGAAGTTAAATAAAAAGTGCACATCCATAAAAAAAGTGTCTCACATGGCTCCGGGGGTGAACAAAGGCCTTCTGTAGCGAATCGATGCGTTTTTGTAAGAAAAATATCCATATTCAAAACGTAATAATCACTTTAATCTAGCTTGCGCCAACAGTCCTACACGGAAGGGCTGATGAGGTATGAGGTCAGCGTTACACATGTGCCATGAAACAGCTTAAAAGATCAAAGACAATTTTTAATATAACTCCGACTGGATTCGTCTGAAAGAAGAAAGTCATATACACCTAGGATGACTTGAGGGTGAGAAATGTATGGGCTAATTTTCATTTTTGTGTGAACTAACCCTTTAATTACTCTCCTTCATATCGTTCCAAACCTGTAAGACCCTCATTCATCTTCGGAACACAAATTAAGATTTTTTTCATGAAATCCCAGAGCTTTCTACCATGTTCAAGGCCCAGAAAGGTAGTAAGGACATTGTTAAAATAGTCCATGTGACATCAGTGGTTCTGATTTCATATAAGCAAAGAAAACAAAAATAATGACTTCTCTTCTGTGTCAGTCGACACGCGTTCACAAAAGTACCATGACGCATGTTGAACATGGACTATTTTAACAATGTCCTTACTACCTTTCTGGGCCTTGAACATGTCAGTTGCGTTGCTGTCTATGCAGGGTCAGAAAGCTCTTGGATTTCGTCAAAAACATTTTACTCCGTGTTCCAAATATGAACGAAGGTCTTACGGGTTTGGACCAACATGAGGGTGAGCAATTAATGACAGAATTTTCATTTTTGGGTGAACTTTAATATGCAATATAATGATTTTTGTTATTCAACAAAACGCTATCCTGTGCAGGATTCTTTAATAAAACCACTGATCTTTTTCTCCTTGTGTTCCTACTTCAGATTTTTCATATGACGTATGACCTGGCGAGTGCAGTGGTAAGAATCTTTAATCTGATTGGCATGATGCTGTTGCTGTGTCACTGGGACGGATGCCTGCAGTTTCTGGTGCCTCTCCTGCAAGACTTCCCTCCTGATTGCTGGGTGTCGCTAAACGGTATGGTTGTAAGTATTCAAAACTTTTCATTACTCTGTTTTATTTTGAACTACACATTGGATCAGGTCAAAATGATAATTTGATCAGTGGACAAGAAAATTATTTAGTGAAAATGTTCTCTAAATGTTTAGCTGTTCTTCATTAAGAGATTTAATAATGACAGTAAATATATGCCGCATTCACATAGTGTCAGAATTACCGTAATTACAAGATGACAACTCAGATCCTGAAACATTCACATCGCGGGACTTAGAAATTATTCGTTTCTATGGCAACTTTTACAGATCCAAGAGTGGCTTTGTTGGTTATGACAGCAAAATACTTAATCACTACATAAATTCACCTTCTGTGAAATACAGAAGAACAAAGAGAGCACCTGCTAACACTGGTAATAATAAAATGGCATATCAAACTGAAGTATGTGTAGAGGTTGTTACCTAGATGTTCGTCTGACTGTCTGATGCATAATGCATACAAAACTGGAAAGCACTTGTGAAAATCGTAAGCTCCAATCAGACTGCCTTTTTGCAGCATAGCTTTTAAGGGGTCAGGGATGTTTTTACCATTCTGCCAGGACCAAAATCGTGTCTTGACCTGTGTTGAAATTCTGAGTGCTTGTGAGGAAAATCGAATTATTAAATTAGTTTGCCAGTTGAAAAAAAATTGAGGGAATTAGTAACAAATAAACTAGATATTTCATAGGCAGAATTACAGTATATATATATATATAAAAATCTGCAAGAATACATTGAATTACCGTAATTACAATTTAAATCAAAAGTGACAGTAAAGAAGACTTAAAACTGTTTACAAAAAACTCAAATAAACACTCAAAATCACAAATGTTAATTTTAAGTTTTATATTTAACAAAAATCCTGAGGAAAAAAAACATTGATAATTTAAATAAATAAATAAATTCTTGAGCAGCAAATTAGAATGAATAATTTACGTTACAAAATTACATTTTAAAATATATTAAAATCGAAAAAAATTTCTTTTTAATTTTGTAATAATATTTTACAATATTACTGTTTTTTTCTGTATTTTGATCAAATAAATGCAGCATTGGTGAACAGAAGAGACTTTTTTCAAAAACATTAAATCATATGGACCCAAGATGTTTAAATGGTAGTATAATGTGATTTATGTTTTGATTTGTACAGTATATGTGAAATAATACAGTAAGTGCCTAGTTCATCTAGACAATCAAAAGTTCTAAACACAAAGCTTACACACAAACTCTCTTCCTGTCTAAGTGGGCAGTTTTGGCCAGAATAAGCTGCAATGTGCAATGCAATGTGTCAATAGCTATTACAGTTACAGTAAATCCACTGCAGTTTTGGTGGTTTTACATGATGTCACAACATAGAATTGGAGAAATTGAGAGAATTTTGTAGCAGTTAATATGTTTGACAAAGTCATGAACAAACATCTGAACCTACTTACACAACGTGATTGCAATAATCTCACCACTTAGTCTACATAATGTTTTACGAAATCAAAAAGGAAAAAAGTTCATTAAACAACCCTAGCATACGAAGATTTGGACTTGCACGTCCCATTACTTTTAAAATCCAAGAGGCACTGGGCAGAACATTTGACACTTGACCTTTTTCAAACGAGAGCTGTTCAGCTAATCAGGACAGATGGCTCGCTGTAGTTTTTCACCGCACATCATGTTGGTGCTAAATGGATGTTAAAATGCCAAGATCATTTTTTACTTCTCCCAGCTTTTTCGAATGAGTTCAACTCACATTCCAGGTCAAATTGCTGTGCTGGTAAAAGCATTAGGCTTTTTTAGCTCAAGGCCAAATGTGTCACGCTGTTTTAGGAAATCAGATTTCTCTGATTTCCCGCTAACAAAAATTATGCATTCCCTTTGAAAGCGTGCGCAGAGATCAGCAGACGGCCTGTAATGGGCATGTGCAAATCTCTTTGCATATTCGTCTGAGCTTGTTAGCTTGGCATCACATTAGATAACGGTCTTGGGTGGTGGTGGTGGTGGTGGGGTGATAAGGCTGTCCGCAGTTACGCAACCATATCCCCTCAAGTGCTAGGGGGCTCAATCTAACTTTGAGGTGCTCTATGTGATACTGCAGACCCCTCGGCTCTGGAGGGCTTTACCGGGAATCGTTGATAGTCGTGTTTTGAAATGTTGCGAAACCTCTGGCTATGTTGAACGTGACATTTCTGACAAATTAAAGACGCTTGAGAAGCCTTAGCTCGATCTGTTTTACCTCAGAAATGTTTTATGTCATTTTCCCTCTTCATCTCAGATGAAACAGATGGAAATTATGCATACAGCAGCATCCAAGAAAACAAAGCTAAGCTTAGTCCTTTGTTATAGCTTTAATGCTTACAGGAAGTGATATTACTGTGCTCCAAATATGTTTTTTTTTTGTTTTTTTTTTAATTCTAAACATGAAAATGCACTTCAAAAAATTGAGTCTTTCTAAAGCTAAAGAAGAGGTCAAACGCTTGTGGCGTTTCACTGCAGTTTGATGCGATAGGAGATTGATATTGCCCCTTGTGGCTCTGATTTAAAATTCTAGCCTCAGGTTTCTTATTTTTTCCTTTTTAACCAGAGAATGAAAACTTATTGCAGTACATAAACACTTGAGATCTGTTACAAAACCTAGTGAGTTGCCTATCTAGACAGCATTTACAAAAAAAAAACATATGATGGCTGTTCCAAAATCATAATGTTCCAAATTAGTTAAAACAGTTTTAATGCTGCCTTCACATCCTTCTGGGAAGTTCTGCTCACAAGCCTAGAAGTCATAATTACAATGTGCTTGCAAGTGAAAAAGTTGATGTGGGCATTTCTTTTTCACTTCAGCAAAAACGCTTGATGTTTCATGACTAATGCAACAAAATGAAAAGCAAATGAGTGTGTTAATGCTTATCTTCATGTTTTATCCTGTGGAGCCACAGCTGATGTTGGGAAATGTAATATAATGTAATGTAAATGGGTGTCCGTAAGATTTTTGAACATTTTCGAAAGAAGCATCATATCCTTAACAAGGCTGAATTTATTTAATCAAAAATATGGTTTAAAAAATAAAATATAAATATATATAAAATATGAATAAATATAAGTAATATTGTGAAATGATATAATTCATTCCTGTGATGCAAAGCTTAATTGTCAGCATCATTACTCCAGTCTTCAGTGTCACATCATCCTTCAAAAATCATTCTAATATGCTGATTTACTACCCAAGAAGCTTTTCTTATTATTATTATCAATTTTCAATATTTTTTTTCAGGATTCTTTGATGAATAGCAAGTTTCATTTATTTGAAATCTACATTTTTGCAACAATGATTTACGGTCTATTTTGATCAATTCAATGCATCCTTGATTAATAAAAGTATTTAACAATCAATCAATCAATCTTTCTGATCCTAAACTTGGTTTTGTATAATCACAATTCTGTAATCAATATTTACAATGAAAACATTCCAATTTCTATGCCACTAGTGTCAACAAATGTAAAATAAGGACAGTGAAACTTGTTTTCAAACTTTGAGCTTGTGTAAATATGATCATTCCGTCATAACTTGTCTCTTGAAATGTCAGTCGCCTACAAACATGCACATCAACCACGACTACTGAATGCAGATCGCTTAATATTGTAAAAGTCAATTATGCCAGGGTTCATTCTCTTAAAATGAGCTTTTGTTATTGAGTCATCAATTCTGCAGGTGTTTTGATGCGACATTTCCTCAGCGAGGGGTTTCTAAACTGATAGAGATGCACCACCTCCTCCTTTCTGTAAATTATATCAAGACTGCATCATGATTTTCCATCTGTCTCATTCCCCTGGGCTTGGTTCAGATAAATGCCACAACCAGAAAATCATAACAGAAACAAACAGAAAATCAAAAGCCGGGGAAAGTGTTTTGTTTTACTTTTCTGTACATTTTTATGTACCTTCTTAGTCTAGGTGCATTTTCCTCCCTCTCTCCTTCCCTCAGCGTCTTTGTATGACTTTGAATCGATGACCTCCCTGTTTACCTCTGCACCACTTTCTCCTCCCAAAAAAATCAATGCAGATGAAAAATGAGCAAAGATTCTTTTCCCCGTGCACGGATGGGGGTCCCAGAGGGAGGCGGTGGCCCTGCTGCTCAGTAATTCAGGGTTTAGGCGGGTGAAGTGAAGAAGAGGATATAATGCCCTGGCGGGGGCGTGCTAATTGGGACATTGAGTCGGAACAGACAGGAGGCGACACCGATTGTGTTACCAGCCAGGCTGTCGGGTTAATTTAGCCATCAGAGAGGTTAGAGTTGGAGGAACGTCTGGGGATCACAACATGCCTCCCTCAGCAGGATCCAAACCAAGTGAATGTTACTTTAAAGTCCCCATGAAATCAAAATGAAAGTTTTTTGGGTGTTAGTATCAATATGTTAGTTTTAAGGTTATCTATAAGGCAGTGTGCTCCAAAACAGTGACAAAATTCGCATTTAGAAGATATAAGCATTCAAAGCTTGCAGTTCGTCACTTCCGCCAAAACGGCTCAACGATTTTTTTGACGTCACATCGTACTTCAGCTCCTCATCAAACTTTAATCAATGCAGATGAAAAATGAGCAAAGATTCTTTTCTCCCGTGCACGGATTCAGTAATTCAGGGTTTAGGCGGGTGAAGTGAAGAAGAGGATATAATGCCCTGGCGGGGGCGTGCTAATTGGGACATTGAGTCGGAACAGACAGGAGGCGACACCGATTGTGTTACCAGCCAGGCTGTCGGGTTAATTTAGCCATCAGAGAGGTTAGAGTTGGAGGAACGTCTGGGGATCACGACATGCCTCCCTCAGCAGGATCCAAACCAAGTGAATGTTACTTTAAAGTCCCCATGAAATCAAAATGAAAGTTTTTTGGGTGTTAGTATCAATATGTTAGTTTTAAGGTTATCTATAAGGCAGTGTGCTCCAAAACAGTGACAAAATTCGCATTTAGAAGATATAAGCATTCAAAGCTTGCAGTTCGTCACTTCCGCCAAAACG